GTGCTGACTCACTGCCCCCTCCTCCTCTCTCTCTCTCTCTCTCTCTCTCTGCTCCCCACAGGTGGTCTGCGTGGAGGGCCACATGACCAAAACCCTGGGCTACCTAGAGCTGGGCACTTCAGGGCTCCTCAAGACCCTCCCGTCCGGCGCCTTGAAGCCTCCGCCCCTGCCCCCGGCCCGGCTGTTCTCCGGGGAACCCTCGAAGGCCAAGGCCGGCGCCCTGAGCCCCTGGGCCTGGCCTAGGAACCAGACGGGTGCCGAGCCCCCGGGCCAGCGGGTCCAGCGCAAGCCCTCGCTCAAGACGGGCCGGGCCCGGAAGATCTTCGGCTGGGGCGACTTCTACTTCAACATCAAGACGCTCAAGTTTAGCCTGCTGGTGACGGGCAAGATCGTGGACCACGTCAACGGCACCTTCAGCGTCTACTTCCGGCACAACTCCTCCAGCCTAGGCAACGTCTCCGTCAGCATCGTGCCCCCGGGCAAGGTGGTGGAGTTCGACGTGCTGGGGCCCCCGCCGGCCTCCGAGCTCCAGCAGGCCACCCTGCCCGAGGCCAAGGAGTCCAGGGCCTTCAACTGCCACGTGGAGTACGAGAAGACCAACCGGGCCCGGAAGAACAAGCCCTGCCTCTACGACCCGGCCAAGGTGTGCTTCACCGAGCACACCCAGAGCCACGCCGCCTGGCTGTGCGCCAAGCCCTTCAAAGTCATCTGCATCTTCGTCTCCTTCTGCAGCTTTGACTACAAGCTGGTGCAGAAGGTCTGCCCCGATTACAACTTCCAGCACGACCGCCCCTACTTCGGCTGAACCCCCTCCCGCCCCCACCCCCCAAATAAAAACCCAGCTCGCACAGCTGCCGGGGGCGGGGAAGGACCCTGCCTCGCCCTGGTGGGGCCGGAGGATGGGCTTCTCCAAGCCGCGCGGAAAGAGGGGGTGCCGTGGAAGCGGGCGCGGGGGACGCTGTGGCGAGCCCCTTTGGGGACCTGGGGACCGGACGCTTTGCTCCATCAGCTACGGGCCTGCGGAACCACCCGGGACCCGGCCAGGCTGGGCGGACGCAGCCAGATCCCCTCGAACCGTGGTGGCAGGATGGGCGCGGGGACAAGCGAGCAACGGAGCCGGTCGCCCCCATCCCTGCGGGGAAATGGGGGGACGAGGGCCAGGGGCTGCACAGGACCAGCGAGTGACACGTGCCCAGGGGTTCAAATTGGGGTGTGTGTGTGTAAATGTATCCGTGATATCGGGGGGGTGCGTGTGCGGATTGAGGGCTCGGGGCCCAGCGCAGACGGGTACCTTTGCCAGCCATCGCCTGGGGCGAGCCAACCCACGCTGCAGGCTCCTCCTGGGGGGCTCGGGGGCTGGGGCTGTGGTGAGAGCTGCCCGCTGCCGGCCCTGTGTCCCCCCCTTCACCCGGCTGTGCCATCCCCCCCACGGGCAGCGATCTGTGTGACCAGGCAGGCGCCGACCCCGGGGATGACGGGACGATGCCCAGCGCTGCACCCCTCAGTCCAACCTGGCTGCAGGGGGTGCCCCTTTCCCGTCGCTCCCCTGGAGCCGTGCCCACCCTGCCCGCTTCGGCTGCAGAATGACACACACACGGGAGGGAGCCCATTATTCGGGAGGGGACCAGGGCCTTCCCCCATTTCTTTCTCCCCCATGTGCCCCCTGCCTGCCCTGCCCAGCCCCGCCCAGCTGCACCCCCAGACCCTGCAGGCTACGGGATCGCCCCAGTGCTGCGGGAGGGAAACTGTGGCGGGGGTGATCTGCCTGCTCCCAGGCTCTCCCCCTTGCCCAGGGACCCCCTGAGATCCACCCCTGACCCCTGCAGGGCTGGGAAGAAGCCGACCAAGGGCTGAAACCCCAGCGTGGCCGAGGGGGATGGCAGATCACAGCCGGATTCCCGAGCTCGGCTAAAGAGGTGCAACCTGCAGAGGGCGACAGAGAGTCCTGCAGAAAGAGTGTGAAATAAGACCACGGGGGGGGGGAAGGGGGTGTTGGGTGTGTCGCACATCTGTGCGGTTGTGTGTGTGTTTGCATCCTTTGTGGCTGTGCATGCACCTGTGCTTGTACGTGGGGGTGTCCGTGCGGGTGTGCACGGGGGGGTGCTTGGATGTGTATCCGCAGGGTGGTCACACACTTGTGCGTGTCTCCGTGGGTCGCTCTGCAGCGGACTTGGTTTCGCAGCCCTGGCACTGAATGAGGGGGCCCAGCCCTGGCTCCCTGAGATGTGCCCCCGGATCTCAGCAGGAGCCTTCCCCCACCCCCGCACATCTGGCAGTGCCATCCTGCCCAGCCCGCAGCCCGCAGCGACGGGTACAGCGCCCGCCAAGGCAGCAGGGCAGGGCAGGGCAGGGACCCTCCGGACAGAGCCCCCCTCCCCAGCTGTCTATTGCTCGTCACAAAACGTGCATTGGAGTGAAGAAGTAGGTGCCACGGGGCTGGGGGAGCTGGAAGGGCCGGGGGGGCAGCACAAGCTGGGGTAACCCCCCCAGGCTGAGCCATGCACTGGGTCGGGGCAGGGCCCTGTAGCCCCAGTCACTCCCCCCCATGCTCCGGGCAGCACCTCTCCGGCTCAATCCATCCCCCCCTGTCTCCCCCCCCCGGGCCTCTGGGCTGAGACTTCTTCATATTTTTGTAACAAAATAAAATGGAGGGAAAAAAATGTGATTAAAAAAAATGAATGAAATAAAATCTCTGGGTGTGGCGCGTGATCGATTCCCAGCCCCCACCCCAGTGCATGAGTGTGATTGGCAGCCCCCTGCCCCCCCCCATTGAGCAGATCGACAGCTCCTGCCCTCCCCTTATGGAGTGTGATTGGCAGCCCCAGCCCCGCCAGTGAGCATGATTGACAGCTCCCCTATCGAATGTGATTTGCAGCCCCCCTGCCTCCATCGAATGTGATTGACAGTTCCTGGCCCCCCTCATGGACTGTGATTGTCAGCCCCAGACCCTCCCATTGAGTATGATTGACAGCTCCCCTATTGAATGTGATTGGCAGCCCCAGGGCCCCCCTCATCAAAAGTGATTGGCAGCTCCTGGCCTCCCCTCGTGGCGTGTGATTGGCAGCCCCAGCCCCTTCCATTGAGTATGATTGACAGCTCCCCAATCAAATGTGATTGGCAGCCCCAGCACCCCCCCATTGGGCAGCTCCCAGTTGCACTGGAAGCGGGAGAGGGCTGGGCCGGTGCTTGGGAACGCAGGGGGTGGTTCTGGAGACATCAGGGGTGCTGTGGGAAGCATTGGGACCCCAAGGGCAGGGAGGGGTGTTTCCTTCCTGACCCCAATGCCCTGAAGCCTGAGGATGGATCAGCTGGAGTGACTGCCAACGGCGGTGCCTGGGCCCAGCTGCAAAGAGGCGCCCGTCCGTGCCAGCATGGGGAGCTCCCCCCCCCACACACACACACATCCAGGACGCTGGGTTTGATGAATTGCCGCACAGGCTGTGGAGCTGGGAGAGGATGTTGGGAGCAGGCTGTGACAAGCGAGCCGGCTGCACCCTGCCAGCGCACGGCGCCTGATGGATGGGCACGCTGGGCCCCAGGATCTCCCCGCCCCCGAAATCCCAATGATTGATTCTCCTTAGCTGAGCTGTCCTCTGCTCTGGAGCCTGGCTCCCCAGTGCAGAACGGCGGGTGCGGGAGTGGGGGGGGGTGTCTTCTGGCTTCTCCTTAGCATTAAACGCCTGCAACCGGGGCCTGGATTGGGGGCAGGGGGCTCTCAGTCCTGCAGTCCTGTTGACTCCAGCCGGGATGTGAAGGGGATGTTGGGTGGGGGAGTCTGAGTTAGGACTTCAGGGGAGGGGAAGCGATCAAGAGGGGAGGTGCCCCCCCCCATAGAAACCCAAATGAAGTCGCGTGGGGTTTCTGGGTGAATTTAGGGGGTCGTGTATAGTTATTTAGCTGGTTTTCCCAATGGACACACAGGGGAAACTGAGGCACAGAGCCAGGCTGGCCCTTGTCTAATGTTACCTAGCCGGAGAGTGACAGGGCTGAGGCTACAACCCTGGCGTCCTGGCTCCCAGGCCCCGCCGCAACCCACTGGACCCCCATGTCCCTTCCAGACTTGTGGCTAGAATCCAGGAGTCCTGGGTCCCAGACCCCACTCCCCCCACTAAACCATGCTGCCTCTTGGTGCGGGTTGGTGCACACGCCAGGTCTGGTCTGGCAGCACTGCCTGCTTGTGGAGCTGAGGGGGAGGTCGGACGGGGCCCTGACCTGCCAGCCTGTAGATGCTGCCCCCCGGAGCGGCGCTGTCCCGGGGCGGGTGAGGGGGAATGGGACACACACCCATTGTCTGTGTTACGACCCTACCTGGCCCAGTGCTGGACCCTCCTAGTGCCTCGATCAGCCAGTGAGAGTTAGGTGCCTAATGCCTCTGAGCATCTGGGTTTAGGAGCCTTGTGCCGCTGCTGGCCGGGATTCGGGTGCCAGGCAGGATCCGACCCCGTCCTCGTTTGCCAGTGATGGCAGCTTTGGGGAGCGCTAGCCTGGCTCTGCCACCGCTCGGCTCCCCCGCCAGGCTCACGGCGAGCCCAGTGCCCGTTCCGCAGGGGTGTGGCATGTGGCCCGGCGAGCATCGGGCATCGGTCTGCCTCTTGGGGCCATCGCTGGCATGGCCGTGTGCTGTGACATGCCGCCACGGGCCACAGCAGAGGTGTTGCCATAGGCTGCAAAGGGCTTTGGGGGCAGCTACAGCTGCTTGGCAGGCTGCATTGGAAGGGGTAAGATGCGGGGGTCAGATGAGGAGGGAAACTGAGGCCCAGGGATGCTGGGTCTGCGCTTGGCTCAGTGACCAGGGAATGTGTGTATGTGTGTGTGTATGCGTGTGTGTATGCGTGTGTGCGCTCCTTTGTGCGCCCTGGCTGCACAAGCTACCCAGCCCCTACCACACGCTGGAGCAGCCTAGGTGCTGCTCTAATTGCACTCGGGCCCCTTACGGGGAAACAGAAAATACCCATAATGCAGTGCATGCTCGCCAGCCTGCCCACCCCACCCCCAGGTGCCGGGAGCAGGGGAGCATTGAGACACCAACAGCAGCATCATGGTGGCTAGGGACACCTCTGCGTAGGGGGTGGATTCTAAGGGGGCTGCACCCCCACAATTACACCATGTCTTTGGCAGACCCTGGCGAGAGGCTGGATCCCCACTTCCCAGGCACCCCCCACCCTCCCCAGGATAAATTGGCAGCCTCCTCCCAGGCGCTGGGCTGGGGCCCCGTCGGGCGCTGTCCCCAGCCGTGCAGGAGGCGCTGATGTGCTTTGCAAAATCGATCTCCCGCTTCCCCCCATTAATTCCCCAGGCCCAGATGTCTGAGGTCGTTGCTGCTTTAATTAGATTTAATTCCATTCGCGCTTCCCAAGCCAAAGAAAGCGAGATGCGGGGGGAGGGAAGACCAGGTGAGGGGGAATATCTAGAGCTTGGAGCAATACGGCTGGGAGACGGGACAGACGGGTCCTGTACTGACTCTGGGACGGGAGTGGAGTCTAGTTGGCTTTGGCAGTGGTGGCTGGGAGCCAGGACTCCTGGGTTCCATTCCCAGCTGTGGCAGGGGAGTGGGGCCCAGTGGTTAGAGCAAGGGGGTTCTAGCCCCAGATCTGCCGCTGAGTGATATTGGAGGGGCAGGGCACATCTTCAATGGGAGAAAGGTCTTGGCTCGGGCCTTGCTTCCTAGGGTGCAGGACTTGCTGGGCCCGGGTGGGGGGGCAGCACGTGGCCCCGGTGTGCTGCTGACACTGCAAAAAGATTTTAAAATAGCTGCCCCTCCCCGGCATCTCTGTCGCTGTAGGGGATGATTCGATCACAAGATCCAGTGATCCTGCCACCCACCACCGAAATGCAGCCACCTCTGGAGTGGGCTACCACCGCTGGTTCATAGCCACACAGCAAAGCTGCGCAGGGATCGCTCACCCAGCACTGAAATGCGGCCACTTTTGGGGATGGGCGCTGCAGCTGATTAACAGTGACACAGCAATGCCGTGCTGGGAAGGCTCAACTCGTTTGGGAATGCAGCTGCCTCTGGGGTGGAGCACGGCAGCTATTTGACAACACACAGCAACGCTCCGGGATAGTGTAGTGCAGAGGAACGGCACA